CCCTCTCCGAAGGCTCTCACATGGCCACGCGTATATAGCCTCTGCCAAGGAAGTTCTACTCACTGCCTTCTCGCAGCGGGAGTGTTGTTTACGAAAATGAGAGGACGAAAAGCGAATGTCCGGCGCTTTAACCGTATTCCAAACCAATGGTGCACATAGGCCCCAGCATCCTACAGGAACAAATAGTGTATGAACCAATTATTGGTCACCGGCTACCATGGGACTGCATCTCCTTACGGTGCTCCACTGCCTTGTGGATCAGACCTTCAGGTGAAAGGCTCGGGGTGCGGCCCTCTAAGAAAACCGCCTGCTTCGGTTCGGGCACCCAGGGAGTATCACAGCCCTCACACAAATCAAGTGAGATTTGTTTGGCGCGTATGTATTTGGTGCCTCCTTGTACCAATATCTATGTGTTAAAATAAATAATGATGATTTAGACGATAAAGATAACAGTATGTCATAAGGCTAAACAGTTAGAAGGAATCAGTCAGTTACAACGTAGGACCAGGCACATATATGCATCGGTCCAAGTTGCCACACCGCATTATCACAGCAAGAAGGAATCGGCAGAGAATTCTGCTTGATCTCAGTTTCCAATTAACTGGTAATAAACAGAGATATAAATGTCTATAATCTTAAGATATTACTCGTGGAATTCGATCATGGGTTACTTAGTGTTATAGTAAATTTTACTACTGAGATGTTGATATTACAACTGTGTTTTCTGAAGGACAGCGACTTTTGGATTGATCATTGAGGTTACATGTAGTTCGAATAGTTGAGTGATAACTTCCTTGACTGTGGCATTAGGTGATAAGGGTTTGAAATAGATTGAAGCACCAGTTCCTTTAGAATTAAAGGAATGTTTCGGTAACCAACTGCTAGCTAAAACTAAAATCGAAGTTCAAGACTCCCTCCAGGCTCCCAATAACCATCTAGTATGACAGCATAGTGTACACAATTTCAAGTAATCAAAATCAGTGGATAACCCCAAATAGGCAAAGATAAAGTTCACTTCCTAACTTAAAATGTTTTTAATCGACTAGGCGTTTGTATTTTTTTCCAGAAGTATTGGTCACTCCTCTTTTATTTTTTTTAACAAGTTAGAGGATGAAAAGCGGAAGTTCGGTCCTTAAACAGAGTTGATGTATAAGGAGCGTTCAGTTAGGGGAGCTGGTAAACCCTAGTTACAAACCAATGGTTTAAATGGGCTCCAGGGTACTGATGGAAAGAATAACGTATAAACCTATTTCGGTTATCAGGTATCACGAAACTCAGTTTCGTACGGCCGTTTCAGTCTTGGGGATTGAAACTTGCGTCAATTATTCTAGTTATCCTGTAAGAAAACCATTTACTTCGTTTTGGGCTTCCAGGGAATACTCCGCCCCACAAACAGACAGGATATTGAATAATTATTCAATAAATGTTCTACTCGCTCTTTATTCAAGTGATTTTTAGAATCAGTTTACTACAAATGAATCTGTCTTGCATTAATTCAACTTCCCAGCTTTATTTCCATTCTGTATACACTTTAATTCTTTAAATCACTCGTCTCTGTTAGAAGCTCTATTCCATTCTAATGACCTGAGGTAGCCAAATCGTCGGCTGAAATAATGCTGTCAGCAGATAAAAATGTCTCATAGTTTCTCTGGAGTCACCAGTGCTCCTCGTCTTCACCGTTCGCAACTTATCACATATAGGTTCAATTGTTTTTGGAAAGTCATAATGTCAACCAATGTTATATTTCTGAAATCTGTATTTACGACTCCAGTGACTTGTGACAAATTCTTTCTCCTTATGTCGATTCGAAAAGGTTATTCGACATGAACTCATAAAGACTTTGTCACCCGGTTTCGTCGATATCAGTATCGCACTGGGTGTCAAAGTGGAGGCATAACAAGCCAACTGGAGCCCTATTTACTATTGTTTATGTCCCGTTACGTGATAAAACTGCATCAAAATGGGGAGAAACAGGTGTGGAAAATTTTGTGTTAATATGTTGTTAGATTGGAGCCCGAATACCATCAAGGAAGAATTTTGCCTCCAAGTCTGTTTGACAGATATCGCGGTTCTAAGTGAGAACTTGGGTGCTCAGTCCTAATATCTAGGACCACAGAAGAGGAGACTGTGTCTAATATTGACTCGATAGTTCCAGATCAGATAAACACGGCCACTTCTTACAGCTCCGTGCTGACCACGAACTATTTCTGCCCCGAGTCGGATTTCAGGAAAGTCATCATCTGCAAAATAAATCACACCAGCTACGAGGAATACTACACTTCACAAAGTGGACATCCCCTTCACCTACGTATGCATGGACACAGACTAACCCTGAGGTGACATGTATCACTAATGCCAATGCACTCAGATAACCAAGGATATGAATTTGGATAGGGAAATGTCATAATTCTGGATTGAGGGTACCCTAATAATCCGGAGGAATTTCTAAGAACATGTCACCCGGACAATCAATACACACATCGAAATGAAACCTGACCTATTAACCCTAACTGAAGGGATCGACTGACGAGGACAGTCAGCCGAAATGCAAGAGCAGATAACGACAACAACCATATCTATGTAGGCAGACACTCACAAAAAAAGCCATCAGAAGGAATTGATATAACACGTGAAATAACTGAAAAGCCTACGCAGAGTACGCAAGTAAGATGTTCAAAATGATAATGAAAGCTCCTCAATTAAGCTGTCCAGTACAAAGGACTCAACACTATCAAAAGCATGCACCTGAACTGTAAATTTCCTCCACTTTAGAAAATATAAAGAACCAATGTATCTTGGTTTTTAAGGATTCTTAGGTTCTATCCGCATAGATACCGTACGACAAACTGTCTAGTTCAAAAGTAACTATTATATTTTAAAAATTCAAGAGGAGAAAATAAACTACCACGAGGAACTGGTGTCAGGTCTCCAAGTACTCGGTGTATGCAGTGCTGGGTCTACAGAGGTTAGACGTAAAATTAATAACCGCGCTTGGGTCGGAGATATATGATTATCGTAGAGCCTGATGTTTAATTAAGTGCAGCGTCTGAATACTGAAATCTCCGACTGGTAATTTGAAGTTTGGTTAGCAATGGTTACATGTAAAAAAAGATTAAGGTAGGGTGTCTCTGATAAATGGGATAGAAATATTAGGGGTCGACCTTTCCTAAAGTCCTTAGCTGGAGACGCTAATTAGCTGTGGTAAACGTTTACTTTTGATTCTCAGTTTAAAGAATGCAACATCACTAAATACACTTACCTGAGTCGTAAGTCGTTTTGGAGACGTCTTAACACATCTAGCCCTAGTGCAATCATTAATGTTTCACTCTAATACATTAAAAGTCTACCGTTTTTTCTTATCGCTCTTCTGTCGGCATGTCTGACATAGTACTGATTCACAGAAAAATTCAGCAAATATAACTCGAATAGGTCTAAAGGCAAATACGATCAACATCATAGTAGCAGTCCCCACTAGTCATACTTAGTGTAGAACTTGACATCAATGTGTATCAATTTAAATTGTATCACCATACAACAGCATAGCAAATGAAATTAACAAGAGAAACGATAAAAATCAAGTTGAATACAATTCAGAGATAAACATGAGGAACCCAGTTCAAAGATAATAAACCAGGCAGAGGAATGAGAAGTAAGGAATGACAATGAGTTCAAGACTAAGGGTGAGACTATAACTCATGGACGAACCAATCAAGTATAAGATAACAGGCCCCGGATTTTGGCGCGAAATTCACCAATCCATTTGGCCGAATAGCGTTTTGGCATTTTAGCTGATGTCAGTTCGTGATGAAGACCCTAAAGGTAGCTTCTAATCCTAACCATCAACTGTAAATCACAATCCCAATTCCTCACACAGGTTAGTAACCCTTATTTGGTCCTAGTTATTAGGTGGACAATCAAAATCACTATGGCGTCGCTCTAAGGTCGTCCATAAATTATAGTCTGACCATAAGAATTAATAAACATAAATTCACGAATGCAAGTGATTGAAGGCTGTCATCAATTATAAACTACGGCCAACACAAATGTAAACATGCGGAACCTATTCATTCAACCAAAGACCAACAGTAGATGCCTTCATGAACTGGTTAGGAGTATTTATTTAGCCAGTCTTCGTTCAACACATGCCAACTATGATTATTTATCACGGTAGGCCGTAAATATACGTAACACATCCCAGATATCTCGATTGATGAACTTGTATATCTACGTCAACCGACTTATCGTTTTTAACCTCAAGTCTTACATTTCACCTCACCATTACTTATTTGATGATGAGTGCTTCGAAGACGTCCATAATAGACTGTGTGTAACCTATCTTCATAAATGCAGTGTACTATGGAGCGGACTGGTGTGCATATGAATACCTCGTTTGTGTTACAGATAGAAAACATTGGCCGAAGTCAAACAAGTCTTTTTTGTATCAGTTTCGGTCGGACAGACGAACGACTTATATGAATTTCAATGTGTGCCAGTTGATTTCACTCTGTGACCAGAACGGACATTGACGAAAACCACTCATGATGCTCCATTTGAGATTTCAAGGGGCATAACGTATCCCAAACATTTTGCATTGTTCAACAAATCTAGGGAACTTCCTCAAAAAGAAAAACGATCTGCATACTGCAAGCCAATAGGCGAATTTCCTAATAGAACTTTCGATGGGCGTCTATGAAAAAAACACGACAAATGAAGTTGTACTGATCGACTACTGGCTGGTAAGATATTCACTACTACCCTACATTCAAATGAAAATAACACTTATTTGAGGTGTTACGCAATGTTATTCGGTATTGACATCCTTCAAATAATTATTTTCGTCACCATTTACTATTTTGCGAAGATGAAGACTAAAAAACGAGACCACCTGTAGTCTTCGTATAAATAGCTGTCTAAATTGCATACAAAGCCCGAATCAGATGGTAAAAGAAAAATCAAACATACCTATTCAGTCTTTTAGGAAATAAATATTGAAAGTACTAGATTGATATAACTTTCGCAAGTACGTTGACGCCTTATCTGATTTTGATGCATACTATTACTAAAAACACACAATCAAATAAGTTATTACTGAAGTAGCAAAGGATATCTATTTTTAAAAGAAATTAATCGAGCTACTAAGGAGGTCTAAGAACATACACGTGTGAAAGTTCTAAAAAGTAAGGTAAACACTAAGAGCATTTAAATTGTAGCAATTTGACTCATAAACTGAAACAGACTAAGAATTTAAAGCAACTTATCGCAGTCAAAATTTGCGAGCAGCAAATTAAAAATACTAAAACAATGGGACAATGTATCGGGTTTAAAAACACACTAATCAAGTATTAAACATGAATTTTAATTTTTATAAACAACCAAATGCAAATGGAGTGTGATAATACAGGCAACGCAATAACTATTGCATAGTGACTATAAAACATGGAACTATGGAAATAGGTTAAAAACGAACATACAATGATGAGTAGAATAGAAAATCTCGCAAGCGTATATGAATATATGATGAATATCAACACTGTGAATTTCATGAAGTAAGCGTTTACATGAAGGAATGAAACAAACAAAACGAAGCAAAATATCGGAAAAACTGGTGTATAAATATCAGACACATTGTTTATACTGAAGGACCAGTGACCTACACGGGGAATGGATAGAAACGTGTGGTGTAGAGTTTAGTGGATGAGGGTCAATATAACTGACTCGTTAGTTTTATAAAAGTTCTGTATCCATAGATGAACATACAATTAAACAAAACCAGTTCTTAACGACCGGGCTGCCAAATTAACAGTATTTTCAACGAAAAACTAATCAGTCAGTTTATGATGCTTGCGAAGTGACAAATATTTGATAAATGAGGAATCAAGATGAATTACTGTTGAGAAACCACTTCGGGGACAGCATCGAGAACAATATCTCCAGTAACCGGAGCAACAAGTGGTTGGATAACTGGTTCTTCAATGGGAACGGGAGTTTTGTGGTGGGCTTCAACATGTACGGTGCCATTGGGTTTTGAAGGTTCATCTGAATTTTAAAACCGTTGAAAAATAAGAATTACCTTTGCTAGACTCTTGGGACCCAAAGTTGCCATTTAGGTTATTCACACAGGGTTCTACATTAGGATCCGTCCTTTTGACACTTTCTGCGCCACATGTCACTGTTTCATTACATGACTCCAAAGCGGCTGGAACTTGTTTTGTTTCCAAACTATTAGAGGGCGGTAACTCGTCCTTATTCACTTGAACAAATCCAACCAATAACTGACCGTCATCACCTTGCGCCGAGATGGCTGCTTGGACCTCGGCACTGTCAGGTGGTGGTACTGAACTGTGTTCGACGACTTCGAAGTCAGTGGAGGTTGTATTTGAATCTTGAGTTTGATTAACAACCGCGTCATTCTCCTTCAGTAGCTCAACTTCAGTCTTCTCGTGATCGGAACACAAATGATCTACTGAGAGTTGTATAGAACAAAGTTTATTACCATCGTCTGACTTCTTATCAACCTTGGTTTTTTTGTGAGGTATTTCCGCTAGATCATGAGTTAGCTCAGTATCCTTTACAGAACTAGTATCGATACCATTCAGCTCCTCCATACTACTCTCACTCTTAACTTGTGACTGTTGTGACTCAGTGTCATCAGAAACCGTTTTAGCTGGTTCAGTAGACTGCCGCTGGAAGTGTCAAGCAAGATGTCAACTTACTTTACGACGGGGAGATTTAGTTGGAGACTTGGCAGGGGACGCTGCCTGTGCAGCAGCAATTCGAGCACTAGTACGTCTGGTCACTGGACTTTCGTCAGAATTAGCGTTGGAACGGCGTGGCATTCTGCGTGGCTACAGTAACAAAAAAATGCATGAGTCAAACGCAAGGGACAACTAGCGCAGAAATACTATCATAAATGGTGTCCATCATAAACTTTCGGCTGTTGTCTATAAAAAAATTGGGTATCTAAACAAAAAACTGATACTTTAACCAGGGACGGTAGTCTATGGTTCGTATAGAATGAATGATGGCCTTGCACAAGAGTGCAAGACCGTACAACAAGTATTACGGAAAATCTCTATTCAAATCTGGATGTCGTATCAGAAAAAACACGGCCATGGTTTACAAATACTTATAATACAGTCGAAAGCGGAAGACCTATAAAGATCTCCAACCTACGCAAAGTACACTGGATGAACGGACGATTAGTTCAGCAAGTAGACTTCTGCAGTAATGAAGGATTATACATACAGCGATTGAATGATTACGAGATAAAATTTTGACTATATTCACTTGGCAATGATAATATTGAGCTAACTTGAATATTTTCACTTGATTTATACGACAGGCTTATCTTCGATAGTGATGACAGTGTGCCTGTGTATAAGCGGAGGTTTTGTCTGTAGCTGACAAGACATAAGTAACAATACACATGTTTACAAAATTTTTGACTAATACACAGAAACCTACAATCAACACTTTTACCAGTCGAGTAAAAGCTGCTGGATTAGAAAATATTGTCGGAAACAAACATTCTTTAGTGCAACCATACAAACGATTAGAGTGGGACGAAAAAAGGATGAACTTACCCGTGTGAAAGGTATAGAAAGTAGCTAGCGCCTTATGATGAATATGAATTTCATCTTGACAGATTTAAACAAAACATTTTTACCCACCAATAAAGCAATCGCTAGTGTAGTGTTTCCATTGTACTTGACACCTGAAAAGCACTACATTTTTATTTATTGGCTAGTGTTATCAGATATATTTCTCCCTTTCCTGTTTGTTGAGTATTCATTTCCAGCCTTGGTAATTATTCTCACTATGTTTAAAGTACAAAGAAGCAACCATCGTAGATGTTCCGGTACTTAAAGGCTTTACGATAGATATCATACGCACATGAAACGCCTGTTACATGCCACAAAACCGGATTCTTTTACCCATTTTCGTGAATTACACCGGTTCGTAACATATGAGTTAAACCAGCAACTTGAGTTGAAACACGTTGGTAGCATGTATTTCTCTAAGTTATGATTAAGACTGGCTGAGAGGTTACGATTTTAGCCCACATGTAACTTATGACAGGTCGGTTTCCCATAAAATTCATTTGGTAAAACTGATCTATGCTCTATTTTTAGTACGTTTGTGAACTTCAATAAAATATTTTATTGACATACCGGGTGTATTTCTCAGTTATTTACCGAACAATTTATAAACCTCGTTAATGTAAATAGAAAAACAAATTCTAATATCTTTTCTTAACGTTTTGTGTATGCTAACTAGAGACAATTCATTCGCGTAAGTGTTTTAAGTAACAATAGCCAATTTACTCACTCTTGACTGTAAAACTAGTTTGTCATCCTCACCAATTAAGTATTCTGTTTGTTTCTAATTCCACGTTATTGTTACTATTGATGTTACTTGCATCATAGTCTTCATATCATGTCGACTTTGTTTTAATTGATTTTTTTCACTTGATGGCTGCCATGTTTATTCTTTAGATTTGCTTGGATTGCTTAAACTGGGCTACCGATTGAGGGTGTTATTTTTTCGGACTATTTGGAGAGATTTATTCATTTGATAGGACACTGGTTTATATTCCTTACTAGTTTATTATGTTATTCACGGCTCGCATATAAAATGTTTTCATACACTGTTGTTTGTCAGCGTTACAGCATGGAGGTTCAGTCATTAGCCAGCAGAATGGCTTCTAACACTCCACAGGGACGTACCTCTTCGACAACCAATAACTATTTTTGACTTCTTCAGCAGTTTATTTAATTAATGTATTCTAGATTTGGCCGGACAAAAAAAACCCAAACCACACGGAGCACAAATAACCTCTGTAGAACAGAAAACACTTTACACGAACATCGATTTCAGGAGTGGTGAATTTCCAGTTCTCTCAAAAAATGTTTTTCGCATCATCTTCGCGAATAGTGATCTCCAGCCAATCAACATTATTCAATGATTTTGAAATTAAATTATTTAATTTGCCCAACTTTGTTTGCATTCACAATTTACCTGCTAATATGGAGCCAGGTGTGTAGATTATTTGATGTGTACGTTATCCAAAAGAATTCAAAAACATTATCCTGTCTGACTAAAAAGAGGCGGAAAAAGCCCAATAATCGAAAACCTTGTGAACACGGGTTACTTAATAGAAGCAGGCTCTTGACTCAGACTAATCTACAGGGTAAGTTGAATGCTGACAAATGCAGCTATATCGTATCTTCTTAACATTACCGTGGTATTAACTATGCATCTGGAAACACTCAAATTATATGTGCAAAAGAAACTGGTACAACCTCTTTTTCTGTCATGGCCTTAATATTTCATAATTTTCTTTTTTATTCATACTTTCCTTTATTCAAAACCATCTGCCTTCCCGCAGCTGGTATATTTCTGTTTCTATGATTCTCTTGATTACATGTATATGGTCTAATACAGAGGCATCACTATCTAAACGACTAATATCCAGGGCATTGATGAAAAAACTATTATCAGTTTCTCTGATAAAAGAAATGTAACTCTTTAATACCTTTTTTGTTCTACCTTACTGATACCATGTTAAACGGAATTTACAATCACTATTATTGTAATTGTCATCAGCTTGAACAGTATATATATATATATATTTGCGATCGTGTAGCTTTGAAAATGAACTTGCCGAAGAGCGAACTCTCCTTTTAATCAATCTTTCTTATTTTACGTAGACGTTGCATCAAACAATTCAACCGCTGTTTTGCCTACTTACGCAGCTCGTCTATATACTTTCTAATCATTTCTGTAGTGATTGTGAATTGTCATAACCTCGGTACAATTGTTCTTCGGTTTTACCTTTGGGGAAGGGCTAGGAACTGACGTCTCATAGGAGGCATAGAGACCCCGAAACTAACGAAGTTTAGACGCTACAAACACTAAATAATAGTAATATATTTCTGCGACGGCAGCAGTCCGTCTTCACTCTTCAGAAGTATAGGTAAAAGATTAAAGTTCTGAATGCACGGGGTTCGACGGTACTAGTATATAACTCTCATTCAGGAAAACGACTCGAGATTTAAAAGGAATGGAAGTCTATAGTACTCAAACAACAAACAACATGCAGACTAATAAATGTATGATTTCCTTTCCTTTCATTGATTTCTACCATGAACTAACTGAACGTAGCTGCCTATAACTGAATCGAATAAAGTATTACCTAGTGTCAACCCGGTTCTCTATTCCGGGTCATAAATCCTGATCCTGATATAATGTGACTAGTCTTATTATTGCGTTAACGAACTACCGTACTATAGTTGAGAGACAAAAAATTTTTGAACAATCAATTATATCGATTACTGAGTGACTTTATAGTTTTTATTATTATGAGAATCCAGTGTTCCTTAGAGCATGCTGATAGAAGATTCTAATACTGTGTGTTCATACAGGGAATTCCAGTAATCCACTACTTGATGAGATCAATGAAAACTCAGATGTATATTATTGTTTTTTATTTAGTCCAATATTTCTCGGTTTGTTTTCATAAGATTTGTTAAAGATAAAGTCCACTATTTGTGGTAATCGCCTCTGAACCCGTCCTGATGTACCATCTACACAATTCTGACAAGATATTACTAACTGAACCCCATTTTCTAAATGTGACTCTATATACGTCGGATATAACATCCTGAGTATATTTACATCATAAACACAACTTGCCTACTTATTCACTTACGTTAATTATCCGTCATGGGAGGTGTCAGTAAGTACATAGATGTCCCATATGGATAGGAGACCTTGACAGAGTCCGCCTTACAGCCACTCATTATTCCTAGGTCACTAATCACGAATCCTGTAACTCCTAGACCCTTGTAAGCAGAAGCCTGAGATGAAACTTTGCTAACCGTCTATCTTGATACATAGATGAACTAAATACAATATCCCTCTAAAATCATCAATTTCGACTGCTTCGGTTACAGAACTACCAGAGATATTGAAATTCGAACGTGAATGTCATGAGTTCTCAAACTCTTAAGTAATTTTACTCACTTCGCCATCTAATAACCGAAAACACAGTCGCTTGTCGACTAAATCTTGCCAAACTATGAGGATACATATAAACATATACATACACAATAACTGAAAAGTTTTAACCACATCTATTCAGTCAACAGGTACTTTGTAATAAGGATAATTGCAATTCTTTTCTGACAAGCAGTTAGTTAAAGGTCGTGAACATGAAGTCTGGCTCTCACCATCTGTTTTAGCGATCATAAGTTCCATATAGTTAGACTGTGAGAATTGTGGACCTTCTGCGGTTGATATTTGATTCTTCAGTGTTTACGTATGTTTGTAATGGCTGGTACTATGCCAAGCCCACATAAGTTATTCTGGCCTCTAGATGGACCGGTCTATTTATTTTTCTAAAGCCACATTTTCGCCCTGCTACTCATTCGTTTATCAGACCTGACTGTTTTTGTCTAAGCTCATGTGTGTGCATTTTTTATCTTACCACATGTCTGTAACTTATTTTCGTCTGACTATAAATATTTACTCATGTCTGGTTAAACCGAGTTGACTCACCCTCCTTTTCGATTGTGCATCATTTTGTTTTGCTTCGCTTTCCAATCGACAACTGTATGAAATATACGTATTCAAAAATCCATTTTCGTGTTTGAATTATTTAATTCTGTTATTCACTAACGCGATTTAGGTCAATGATTATATACGATGATTGGTGACACGTGTATTTCAATAACGATAATCATACAATCGAGTTCAAGTCAGATACAAGGCGACTTCTTGAAGTCGGTCACAAAAACTTCCTAGTTCACGCGCCTTCTAATTTCGGTCTTTAAGATTATTCATTTTAATAAGATGTCCTCTCTTGTGTAATATACCTTACTTCTGTATAGTTGATCGATTGATACGTAACTTCAACTGGGATTTCATGGTAATTATATGAATTTTTCTGAATGTTTTTTATGACCATGCCACTATCACGCATCCTGACTTGCCATGTGAAAAAAGCAACTCAAATGAAACTTGATGCTTGAAATAAACCTCTAGTGAATATTGTTTGTACATGAACCACTTACCTTCTAAATGAATGAAGAAATGTATGAAGATGTTTGATATCGTATGTATGTTGGATATGAAATAACAGGTTGGCTACAAATCTCAGAAACGTATCCCAGCCCACAGTTCGACAGGAAATGCCTAACCATGCACAATGACATAAAAATTTCGATGCCTTATGAAAGGACGGATATTCCTCATTCCTAGGAAATTATGAGTCTTCAGTATCTCCACACAACTCACTGTCCAACTGTAGGTGAAGTTGATGTGTGAGTGCAACTGGTTTGTTTAGTTAACGACATTCAGTCGTCCATTTCGGTCTACTCTGTTCGTATCAAGTTTATTTTGTTAGTGCTTCATTTTTCATAGTTTGTGCTGACTGTTACAAAAAATACTTAGCAGAGTGGTTGTATCCTTATTATCCTAACTAGCTGCGGAACATTTCCATTTCATTCTGCACCAGTGACATAACTCGCACACAGGTGCTCGTGGCTTTTCCTCGCCATTCCCTTGTTTTAGTCTCAGCAGGTGGCTTACGTATCACGGAAATAATTCTTGTGATCCGTATTATACCCGTCTACAGCCTATTAATTAAAGTTCTTTGCTTAGGAGT